GGACACCATTCATGAATTGGCACTAAGCCATGGAATGAATGGTCACTATGGTCAGAGCAAATCAGAGGTCCAGACCTTGATAAATTCATGAATAATCTTTTTCTTTTTTTCTTTCTGTTTTTCTTTTTCTTTTTCTTTTTTTTTTTTTTTTTTTTTTTGAGATGGAGTCTTGCTCTGTCACCCAGGCTGGAGTACAGTGTCACAATCTTGGCTCACTGCAAGCTCCGCCTTCCAGGTTCACACCATTCTCCTGCCTCAGCCTCCCAAGTACCTGGGACTACAGGCACCTGCCACCACGCCCGGTGAATTTTTTGTATTTTTAGTAGAGACAGGGTTTCACGGTGTCAGCCAGGATGGTCTCATATCCTCACTTTGTGATCTGCCCGCCTCGGCCTCCCAGAGTGCTGTGATTACAGGTGTGAGCCACCGCACCTGGCGCATAATCTTTTTCTTACCTGGGTGAATCTTGTTTCTTCCCAACTTAGTCTTTCAGGATCTGCCAATAAAAGAAGCAGAAAGAGTCCTGTACCCCTCCACGCAACCTGGAAATTTTAGGTTTGGGCCAAGGTTGGCCTTACCCACAGACAGGATGGGTGGCTGACTTCATGACAGTATTTAAGAAAAATCATAAACCACCTTCACCCAAATTTGTATTATGCCACCTGCTATATGGATCTAAAATTCCATTATTATAGATATTTCCCTCCATCTGGGCAATGGCTTCTGAAGACCCCTCCAAAAACACACATGTGCATGTCAACACATTGGTGAAGGTTTCCTAACCTGCAATCTAGCTTCTTCTTCAATAAAGAAGAATGGTCTGGAACTCAGGACAAGTAAGTTTTGATAGTACTGGGGTACTTAAAGGGCCAGAGCACAAGCATCTTCCTACAGTAGAATGTATGGGCAGCGGAAAGACACCAAATGGGCATGAGACCTACTAAGAATGTCAGCTGGGCCATGTGTGATTTAGGGAGCTGAGACATGGAGTCAGTTCTAACTTTCAGTTCACTTTTATATTGACTCTACCTGGCTCTTGTACCTTCCAGCGCAGACTTGCTTCCTCCCAAGAGCAATGATGTACCTGGGCAAGAGGTAGAGAGGCGATACTAGTGTCTGGGTAGTCTAAGCAGCAACATCCAGGATCTCAGTGACTGAGACCAAGCAGCTCTGTCTCTGACCAACACTATCATGACAGGAGCTGAAGGTCTCCACTCTGGGTTGGGGTCAAGGAAATGAGTAACTAAGAGTGTGCTCTGCAGATCACTGGGACTCTAGAGGGTCTTTTAGTTGGTCCAAAAGTCCACCCAGAATCCATCATCCAAACACACATGACTGGTTTGTGTTTCGTTTTTTGTTTTGTTTTGTTTTTGAGATGGAGTCTTGCTCTGTTGCCTAGGCTAGAGTGCAGTGGTGCGACCTCGGCTCACTGCAACCTCCACCTCCTAGGTTCAAGCAATTCTTCTACCTCAGCCTCCCAAGTAGCTGGGATTACAGGCACCCACCACCACACCCAGCTAATTTTTGTATTTTTAGTAGAGACAGGGTTTCACCATCTTGGCCAGGCTGGTCTCAAACTCCTGACCTCATGATCCACCTGCCTCGGCCTCCCAAAGTGCTGGGATTATAGGCGTGAGCCACCGTACCTGGCCTGGTTTGTGTTTTAATTGTAATCTCTTAGGAGATAAAAATATATATTTGAAAGTGCAAAGAAATGAATATTTGAAAAAGTATAACTATTGTCATGGTTATTTACTAAGGAAAAATGTGTGTGTGAATATTGAATATGTATGTATGTGTGTACAGACTCACACACACACGTGTTCTTCCCTCGCTCCCTCCTTTCCTTCCTTCCTTTCCATTGCCAAAAGAGCCCAGTAAGATATGCGAGAACTGGCATCTCTGCAATCTGACCGGAACAGTCTGAAGGCCACCAGAGTGGGTGTTACATCTGCAGGACTGGCCGCTTTCCTACCAATGTTTTTCAACTCAGATGTTTTGGCATCATGGCAGCACACATCCTCTCTCTAATCCAGTCTGCACCTAAACCCTGTGTAGGCAGTTTGTGCCGCAAAAAGAGCAGCCCAAGAAGTGAGAACTTGGTTCCTCCTACATTACCCTAAATTATATCAGGGAAATAATATTAATACTTACAACAACTACAACCAAGTTGTAGGACCTCAACTACTCCCCTCCCCAAACTTTCCTCCTCTGAATTATGAGGAAACTTCCTTAGGAAGGTTGGAAGAACTGGGAATGAGAGAGGAGAATTGGGAATGGGGGAGAATGTGTTAAGCAGGTGTAAAACATAGGAAGGGAGCTCCATCTCTGAGAGGGGGCTTTGTGGATGGGAGGAGGAGAAGGAACTGAAGGGCGGTAATTAGCTTATTATTGTTTCCCCTGGGTGTTGTGAGACTTCCTTAGGAGACACTTGTAAAAAAGCAGAAGGAAGACAGTAAATACACATCTAATGATATGCTAAATAAATTATTATTGTTATTATTATGACTATAATAGCAATTGTAACTTGCTTCCTGCTTGAATTTCCACTAAAGATGGGAATTGACCCCCTTATTGCCAGGCCTCCGCAGCTGTCAATAACCCCCAGCCTCCGCCTTCCCAGGAATCAGTCCCCAGGAGTAATTGGGCAATATAGACTAGGCTTCAGTTAACAGCCACTCTCCTGGTTTCTGCAGAAGGAGAACCAAACGGGAGCTCAACATAAGCACACAAGGCCTCTGCCAGGTACCTGCTCTAGCAAAGAAAAAAAGACAAGGAACCTTGCCGAGAATCGTGGGGGTTATACTTCGGGAATAACTTATTGATTTCCAAGCAAGAGAATTCAGGGAGGGCAAAACCTGAGGCAGGCAATTAGGGAGGGGGTGGGTCACAGAAATGAAGGGGAAATATACAAATCAGGGATGCTCAGTCTAGAGATCATAGGCTTCTAGGACTCCTGCAACTATCAAGGGCATTTCCAGAATTTTGCTAGGAAGCGAGCCAATTGCTTTTGTCAGCTTCTCAAAGGTGTCTGGGACCCAGAAACAGCTAAGAGTCATTCCAGCCCAGGTAAAAGGGACCCAGGACTCTTTGGGCTTAATAATAGCGGCCAGTGTCTATTGGTTTCCTGCCTTTTGGCTGAGGACAAACCAATAGACACTGGCCACTATTGTAATCTGCTGTTTACAGCAACCGTCAGCAACCCCCCCACCCCCACCTCCCTACTTCTAGCCAGAGCCCAGGCACCTGCCCTGAGCCCTTCTTAGGCAAATATATGTAAATGTAGGACCCTCGGTTCTCCCTCCCTGCATTTCTTTAGGGAAAGCAACAACCATCCCAGTAAGCCACAGGTATTCATGGGGAGGAAGGAGAGGGCTAGTTGTCTCAGAGGGAAACTGCCAAAGGCTGCAAACTAGGAAATGAGCTCCTTTCTGGACCTCAGTCCTTCACCTAGTCACCTAGTCACCTAGTCACAGGGTGGATTGCCTCTAAGGATTCTTACGGGAAGAGGAACCAAATTTGGGAGGGTCCTCCTTGCTTTAAGCCTTGATGGGAGAGGGGGAGGCCAACCCTTCTCTGCAGACCGGGATCCTCACTAGACAGAGGAGCTCCAAACCTGCCTATCTCATCCCATGCACCGACGGTGCCTGGCCTGGCTCCAAACTCCCAAAAGGAACCATTTTATAGGGGACCAAAAAGGGGACACTGATGATAATAATAATAATAAAAATGAAACAATCTGATTAGGGGCATTACTTGATCAGAAAATTCAATTTAACTATAGAAAATTCTTTCTATAGTTAAATTGTTAAAATTTTTTAACTATTAAATTAAAATTTTAAGCCTGATCTGTTTGGCAGCCCTGGAGCAGGGCTGAGGCATAGAGAGAGAGCTTTCCTTCAGCCAGATTGTCGGTCTCGCACTGATTTATTTTTGTTTTATTTGTGGATTTCTCAGTGGAGCCAGTGGTGGTTCCTCTTTGCACCCCTCGCGTTGACAGGCAATTCCTTCCTAGCCCAGGTCTCAGTTCTGGTTTAGTTTTCATAATTTGGGGGTCCAGGGAGCCAGGAGACTGGAGATAGAAAGCAGAAGTGCACTGTGGAGGTGGGTCTGCCTTGGCTTACCCCCAAATTTCCGGACTTCAGGTGCCTTGCTCCAGTCCCTGCCCCATCCTAGGCGCAGGATGCTCTTCCACCCTACTAACCACTGACCTGGTCAAAGCCCAAGCTGCTGCAAGCCGCCATGTTATCTCCCAGCCTGGCTAGGGTGCCTGCTAGCCAGCAGTGGCTATGGTGGTGAGCAGAGTGAGGGTGAGTTTTTGTATTGATTGCCGTTCCGTTTACCTCAACAAGTATGTTTGGGCAACCATTCTGTGCCAGGCAGCAGACAGAGTCCCTGCACTGCAGGAATTCCTAGTCCTGTGGGCAGGGGTGTGTGGAGAGTGGCACATGGTGGTTAGCCTGGTCCAAGGGTCTACACTCCCTTCCTAGCATCCTAGAGATCCTGGAGGCCAGGTTGGCCACTAAGACTGCGTTCAGGACAACTCCTTCACATATTCAATGAAGTTATCCGTAACTCCCTGGTTTAAAAAAAAAAAAAAAAAAAAAACTGGCAGTGGTGGGAGGTATTTCCCCACTGGGTTGGTTAGTAGCAGGGGAAGAATTGTGGAGCCCTGGCCCAGTGGCGCCTGGAGGAGGCTGACGTAAGAGTGGTGTAGCTGTGAGTGGGAGAAGTGAAATCTAGTGGCGTAAGTCCATGTTCCCTGCTCCTTAAGTCAAATTCTCCCTGAAAAGACCCAGGGCAGCACTGTTAGGGAGCTGAAGGAGTCCCTCTGTGCCCAGAGGGAATTAGGCCACTCAGGCTTCAGAGAAGGAGGGCGGGTGGTGAGGACAATCTCCCCAAGCCCCCATCAGAGCAGGTCCAATTCTTGCAAATTCACTCCTCAGTCCACCAGGTTCTGGTCCCATCCTACATCCCCGCCAGGGCACAGGAGGCCCAGATAAAAACAAGCTTTATTTTGGCCAAATTAACTCACTTTCCTGGATTACCTCACTTATCAGAAAGTGAAAGTACACCCCACGCTCCCCGCCCTGTCCCTGCCTAAACCTCTTTATCTCTGAAGCCCACTCTTTGAGGTCTAAAAATTAGGGTTCAACAGAAACGCGCTAGGACTGCAGGAGGGACACGACAGTCCCTATCTTTCAGTGCACTAAAAGCCAAACTGAAGGCTGCTTCCTCGGTGGAGTGTCTCAGGGTGAGATGGCAGGACTGTTCGCTGCTTCCCGTTTTACAAGCTCCTTGTCCACCTTCTGCGCCAGCCCCTCACAAAACCGGTTCTCACCTTCTGGTGGGTACTGGTGTTTACCCCTTTCCTCCCGCTATCTGTTCAAACGGAGCCCACCCACCCTCCATTCACCTCCCTCCTTGAGGCTCCCTGAGCTCTATTTACCCTTTTGTAACTCCATCCCTCCATAAGTACACAACTCTGCTAGCTGGTTTCCTAGAGGGCAGATACAGCGTTTCCAGTTGACCCTCTGCAGATATCTGTGAACAAGTCTTTCCCAGCTCCTACATATAAATATGTCTGTTCTCAGATAGACGGGCCTAAGTCCTAACGTACACACATCACAAGATAATTACACCTTATATACATACAGATCTCTCTATAGAGTTATATTTGAGAGTGTCTATAACTCTAGAGAGAGATTGCAGCATGCACATATAGGACTATAATTATTTATGTCTATTTTTATAACTATGTAGTTATAAACAGATATGCCTATATATAGCGATAATAATATAGAAATGTCTCCATAGCCATATATGGCTCTAAGTGAATGCTCTAACTACTCTATTTCACAATCAATAAGTATATATCTCCTGATACATAATTCTAACAATATATATTTTTATCTATATAGCTGTTCAGAGATATAAATCTGTCAGGATATCAAATGTACATAAAGCTGGATGGCTGTAAGAGAGTCGTATATTTCCCCATATATAAATCTGCTCTTATAACTACTGTATATGCACAAATACAATGGAAATAATTATATTTCCCTCAAACATAAATCTGTAAATACAACCACAGCACATTTAGGTACGGTTAGACATAGAGCAATATTTCCTAGACATCAGTCTGTCAATAGAGCCACCAGTGCCTCCAAACAGAGAGTTATGGAGGGAGTTATAAATAAACTCTCCAGATGTGAACGGATCAGTAGAACTAGATGTAAACATGACTCCAAGCCGTTCTTTCTTCTTCTTCTTCTTTGTAAGATATTCCTGAAGCAAGCCCAGTCATATAACAGGGTGCAGAGGTATCTGGGTACTGGTATTTTTCCCCCCAAGGAGAGTCGGAGGTCGCTGGACTTTGGGAAACAGAACAGGAGCGGGTGGGGGACAGTGCCCGCTCCCAACGCAGCCCAGAAGCCCCTTCCGTCAGTCTCCTGGTGGCTGAGAGCTCGGGCAAGTGGAGAGGCCTAAGGGAGAAAATGAAAAAGCAGAGTCTGGCTTGAGTCGTTTGGCCCTTCTCCGGCCTAAAACACTCTCAACAGGGAAGCCCCGAGCTGGCGTCGGAGCGGAGAGAGCCCACCAGGCGCAGAGGCTGGGGGAAAGGGGCTGCAGGTCGGACTGCGGAGGCCGAGCGGAGTCGCCAGCCCGTGCCTGACCGCCCGGCGCCCCATCGCCCGGGGCCGGTGCCTTGCCGGCGGCCTGGAACACAAAACCTGGGCCCTAGCCCTGCGCTCAGCGCTTCCGCCCGTCTTATTTTATTGCTGTTTTGTCCGATTAGATATCGCAGCGTCCTCCACCCGTTGTTGTTCTCAAATGCGAAGCCACCCAGGGCTTTCAGCACCAGGGCTGGCTTTAAATAAGTGACTCAGTGGATAGTGTATTTCTCTTTTCAGACCAAATGGGTCACCGGCTACTGAAAAAGAATCCAGATCTCTGAAAGGGTTTGTGACAAATCTTTTAGAAGTTCTCACGCTCACTTGTTACGATGATTTTCTTTTCTTTTTTCTCTTTTAAAAAAGTTGGCTAATTTGTGTTTCTATATTCCTCTTTAATTTTATTTTTATTGGGGGTGCAATTGTTTTGAAAGGAGGGATTTCGTTAGACCCGAAACTGTGGGGCGGCTCCCTCTCTAGCAAACTTACTATCTCTACGCCTGTGACTGCCATCTCCCCCAAGTAAACAAACTAATTAAATGACCGGAAAACTGTACCTGGAGAGAATGAGGTGGATGTTGCAGGATCCGGGACCGAAGTCTTTGCTTCCTTCATGAAAAATCGGCTAGTCTCCAAGCTCGCGAAGGAAAATTCAAGGCGCCTCAACTCCTCCTTTTACATTTTTAAATAAAGAGCCTAGAAAGGGACCTGGGCCTGCCGGAGCCCTAGCCTGGCTCTCCCCACTCTCCGGCGGCCATAAGTGTTTTTCTGCTTCCGTCCGGGGCCCCGTCCTCCCGGGCATCTCTGGGCTCCTGCCGGATCAAGGCTGTGGTCATCGCCTCATTCATCTCTGCCCCTTGGCCTGACCCTGCACATTTGGCCTCCTCCTTAAAACAGGGGCTCCTAGAGAGTCCCAAAAGCCATTAACCATCCCCATATGTGGGATCCCTTCCCTGATCGCACAAAGCAGAAGCCTGAGGAAAAAAGCAATAAAGAGTGGTCTCCTGGCTGTCCTTCCCCTCTTCTGTCCCTTGTCTGGGAAAGGGGTTCCCAACGCCAGCCCCCCAAGAGCATATTGAGAAGCTTTCTTCCTCCCTTCCTTTCCTATCTCCACCTCAGATGCTGTGATCCTGACTCCTTCCTGTCTCCACCTCAAAATATTTCCTCTTGCATTTTATTGTTATCCTGTTATGGAGGGACTGTTAACTACTGTTTTATTATTATTATTCATTATTTATTGTTATTATGATTGTTGTTAGAGATTTGTTCACCACGTTCAGGGGACAGCAGCCTGGCCCAGGGGGAAGCCTGCCTCTCTCTCTCTCTCTCTCTCTCTCTCTCTCACACACACACACACACACACACACACAAACGCAGTACACACACTCACACATATATGCTCACAAATGCCTGCTGTGTTCAGGCCCCTGCACAGCAATCCAAAGAGGCAGGCATCCTACCCCAGCACGCAAACAACACACTGCCCACGCACGCCAGTATTCAGGCAGAACACCACCCCCAGACCAACGCCAAAACCCACACGCACCGAGCTTGCAAGGAAAGGAAAATACGTAAAGAATCCCTTCTCTCCCACAACCTGGAGGGGCGAGTCAGGCCTCTGTCTCTTCCCCCCAGTCGCTTTCGCTTTCTCTTTTTTTTTTCTCCTTGTTTACAGCTTCAGAGAGCTCAAGGCCCATAAATCTTGAGGGGCCTACAGAGCGCAGAGCACATTTGTATGCATCGTTAGGACTCGCTAATACCTAAGCCCATTAAGGAGCGTGTTTGCGCGTGGTTTCCGGTGTGTATTAACTTATAGTTAAATTCTGGAGGAAAGGGCATTGTGAATTAACATATACCAAATCCATCATGGGCTTTTGTCATATCAGATTAGTCAGTCATGGGTTTGGGGGAGCAACTTGCCTGGATCGGGGTGTACCCACCCTCCAAACTTTGTGGAGCAAGCCCGGGGGTCTTGGGAAACATGAAGGCATTCCTATCCAGCCCCAGTCATTCGGGTCCCCCAGGCCTAGCGGCTGCACACCTGCGAGATGGCGGAGGGACTGCAGACCCGGGTGCGGGAGGCCAGCGCCGGCGAAGGGAGGCAGGCGAGGGAGGCCCCTCCAGCGTCCTGCTGGGGTTGAGTTGGGGCGGCTCGGCCCGTGGCCGCTGGGTCGTCAGGTTTCCGCTTTCCGAAAGAAATGAGAGGAGAGGCAAGTGGAGTCGCTGAACTTTAATTAAACCGCAGAGAAGACAGTGAGGGGAGGGGAAAAAAAAACCACGATCGGAGAAGGAGGAGGAGGCGGCCGAGAGATCGAGGAAAGGAAGTCCCGGCGGCTCGGGGGAACTTGGAGATCTCTCCAAGGGACTGAAAGCTGGAAGTTGTATGAAGGTGTTCCTTTCCCCCACCCCAGCTACTCCGCCCCAGTCGAAAAGGCTAATTCTAGACCTCTTATTTAAAAAAAAGAAAGAAAGAAAAGGTAAAGAAAAAGAAAATCTAATTATGTGGAATGTTTCAGCCAGGTGTTCCTGGTTTCAATGACTCAGACCCTATTGGAGCCCCGAGGATCTGTATAATTGGGCCTGCATAGACAGAGATGAAGGATGCCAGTTCTAAAAGGAGGAAGGGGAGAGGAAAGTCCATCTCTTGGGGTCTTGTAGAAAATGCCAAAGACCAAACAAGCTAAATTATTGTGTCCGTGTAGATCTATTTGCCTATTTACATACAGCAGGCTGTGGGGGTTGGGGGTGAAGGGAGGCCGGGAATAAACGACCAGGATGGAGCGGGCTGGCAGGAGAGAAAATGCGCCCCCCGCCCTTTGCGGGAAAAGCCAAGGGGCCTCCTCAGCTCGCAGCTCAGGCGGCCGCGCGGCGGGCCGGTCCGGGACCGGGGGCCGGGGCCGGGCTGGGGGAGGGGAGGCGGGGGCGGGAGGGGAGGCGGAGGCGGGCCCTCCCCGGGCGCTGTGAACTTTAGCTGGGCCGCCGCCTGTCAGCCCCAGAAAGCGTTAAAGGTGCAGCAGCCCGCGCCAGCCTCCGCAGCCGCCTTTGTACGCGTGATTTATGACTTCAATCTTGGTTCACCGAGAGTTCACACGGCTTTCGCTGCTGTTGAAGGTTAAAAGATGGTCTTCGCTTGACAAGTGGGACTATTGAAAATTCCTTCTTCTTCTTCTTTTTTTTTTTTTTTTTTTTTTTTTTTTTTTTTTTTTTTTTGAAGCGAAGAGCAGAGGCTCAGGGCAAAAAAAAAAATTGGGGGGGGGGGGGACAGGGGTTGCAGGTGGGCCAAAATGGTAGGTCAGGAAGGTTTGTCTTCCTATATTTAGGATTTTTTGTTGCTAGGATTTGAGTGCGTGTTGGGGAGAGGGAGAGACTAGGAGGGAGCTAGGGAAGAGATGTAAAGATCTCTCATATTTAGAGGCCAAAGGAGTGGAAAAAAAAACAAAACTCGTCCTTTCACAGTTAATTATCTGGGTAACTTGGGTCACACCCCGTAACTGATCCTCCTCTAGAAACCAGAAATGGGCCAGGAAAGGGAGAGAGTTTGGGTAAAAGGTGAGGTTTGTGTGCTTCTCACTGGGTATACTTGGTTGATCATCCACCCTACCTGGGTAACCACTTTTTTTTTTTTTTTTTTTTTTGGAAATGGGGTCCAGTTCTGTTGCCCAGGCCGGAGTGTCGTGGCACTATCATGGTTCACTGAAGCCTCAAACTCCTGGGCTCAAGTAGTCCTCCCACCTTAACCTCCTAAGTATGTGAGACTGCAGGCATGTGCCACACCGCCAGGCTGGGTAACTGCTTTTCAATGTGCTCCTGCACCCACAGATTTGGACAAGGGTATTTTTAGGCCCCAGTCTTTCAACTCTCTTCATTCTGTAGGTTTAGCCTGCCATTTACATTTGATGCACACGAAGAGGCTAATGGGAAGGAAATCTGTAGAACTGGAAGTCCTTTCTAATCCCAAATCCCCTTGGTCCAAGAGCCAGTCTCTCTTCTTTCTAGCATTTTGAAAAAGGTCGTGCCACAGCAGAGATGATGGTCAAAGATCTCCTAAAGACCAGGATATAAGGCCCCTTTGTGGTCTAAGGCTCTGAGTACTTGGAGAAACAAAACTCACTCCTTCTTTGTAGATTCAGAGAGAGAGAGAGAGAGAGAGAGAGAGAGAGAGGAGATACCTTGAAGCTGAGGGTCTGCTTGGCTTTTTGAGGTGTTTTTTTTTTTTTAAGATACGTGTTTTAAAATTTTTCTGGAGTGGGAATTTGGGATTGTGTGCACTGGGAAGGGGAACAGCAGAGAGCTGGGTCTGGAGTTGGGTGTGCCTCCCTAGCCCTAAATAGGCCCCATCTCCATTATCGATGCTAGGTAAATATTTTCCTAAGAGATAGAGCCAGCCCCTCAAATCCAGATCTGGGAACCAAAGGCATCCATGCTAGAAGGGGCACTCCGTGCTTCTCTTTCCACATAGAGTTAGGGAGGTGTTTTCCCACAATGTGAGGACTTAGATAAGAGAAGGAGAAGAGCCAGAAAGATGTCCACATCTTGCCGGGACACCTAGCACCAGGCCCTCCTACAGGGGACCTCGTATGTAAATAGCAGAATGGGGAGCAAAGAACAGAGAGACCCCAGAAATCCAGAGTCCAGGCTCTGAGGTCACTTTGGCAGGAATGGTCCTCTGGCCTTAGGAAGAACAGAGGGGCAATATGGCACAGTTTAGAAGCTCAGGGAGTGGTAACTGTTAGGAGGAATTAGCCAAGGAAGCTAATGAATCTCTTCCAGGTTCTGGTTGGGAAGCAGAGGAACGAACTTAACAGCCTCTGGAAGTAATGTCTGTACTGAAGTCACCTTCCCACCCTTTCTGTGTTCCTCCCTGGGAAATAATTCCAGTGGGCTTGTGCTTATCTGCAAGTCTGGAGTAATTATGAATTATTAATTCATCATTAAGACTTGATTGTGACCGTTGCTTTCCAGTGGACCCATTTATCTCATTCTTTGTGAGGCAGAGGGCAGCCTCTGTTAGCCTGTGGCTTCTGTAACAGGCAAACTGAGGCCAGCCCCTCTTGAAGGCAGTCCTTGAACTCTGCCCTATGTGGGATGGTTGCCTCATTACCAGTCAAGTCATGTTACACCTCAGAGTATTTGTGCAATACAGCCACCTCCCACTAATTTCAGATTTCAAAGTGCTTTGTAGGTTCCTGGAGAGATAGAGTAGGGGATTAGGAGTGAGACTCCAGTAGGGGAAGAAACTTGGCCAAGCTGTGTGTGGAGACAGGAATTAAGGCCAGGTGGGAGGACTCCCAGGCACAGTAGCTAAGCAATCTGGGATCAGGAATGGGCATTTTACCTTCCTTACCCTAAGGAGATGCTAGCCTCCCTCAACTCTCTGGGGACCCCGGAACACTCATCTGGCCTGTTTTTCTGACCTCTCTTTCCCCCACCAGCCTCTCAATTGAGAGGCACAGGTTTCAAGACACATCATCCCCTCGGATGGTTAGGGGTGGGAAAGTGGGATCTGCCAGTTGTTTCACATCTGTGAGAGGCCTGGAGAGGAAGAAAATTGCTCCTTTCCCATGAGGTAATTCCCATCTAAATCCCTGCTAGAAGCTCACCTCCCCCAGCACTGAAACAATTCTCTTCATCCTTTTTTTCCCTCTTCTTCCCTCTGAAACTACAGGCAGGGAGATTGAGGGCAGGAAAGGCAGCTCCCAACAGCTGTACCTAGAGAAAGAGACAGAAGTAGGAAATGAGGGGAGAGTGGCTTAAACCTGTTACTTCACAACTTTTATCTCCATTCTTCAAACCCAGGTCAACACCTTGAAACCAGGGCCATGGGAAGCCCTCTCTCCTTGTTCCCCTAACTCTCTCTCACAGAAAAGGAGCCCTGCGTCCCTCCCTGAGGCCAGGGCTGCTTTAAAAACTGCTCTAAGAACACTGCCACTTTCTACAGGACACCTGAAGCCCCAACCCCCATGTATCTCTCAGTGCCTGTCTGGTCCAGAGGGAGCCAGTGACTCTGCCAGCACATCACCATTTTGTTCTCCACCAGGGGGTGGTCCATGGAGTCATCTCAGCTTTCAGCCCAGACCTCGCTCACTCTTTCCCCAAGCCACGCCAACATTCCTTGGTCTGTCCCAAGCCAGGAGGCAGGTAAGAAGTCCATCCAGAGGGTCCCCTGGAACTGGCTAATATAGTTTACTCTACTGTTTGATGGTAAATAAAGAGAACTTGGGAAAAAAGGGAAGGAGCAACTGCGCCTGGTGTCCTCCTCAGCCACCCCTCCCCTGGACATTGGCTTTCTCCATGAAACAGTGCACTGTTGTTCTTGGACAACCATTCCCCGCCATCTTTGTTGAAGGGTTTGAGTTTCACCCTCCGTTCACCCCCATTAATCACCCCAGCAGCTAAACATCACCCAGCCCCCTCTGGCCCTTTCTCTTCTTCTTGCCCTTAGTATTCATGTGGGAGCATTCCTCACCGCTGCACGCTCACAAAGGCCCCTCCTCTGACACGAGGTCCCTCCCACTCCCCAACCACCCAGTCCATGATGGGTACTACTCACTGTTCTGGATGTTCCAACTGCTGGCGCCCACTCCCCAGCTGTCTCCATAGCCACTGCCCCCTTCCCATGCACGTGTCAGCTTACCACACCCTCTTTCAGGTACCTCCTTTTAGCCCCGCAGACTCTCTTCAGTCTTTCCGAGCCACCATTCTGCCCTCCATGGCCTATGCATGGGTAACCCCTGCCTGCTTCCCTATACCTCTCCTCTGTTCTCTCTTCTTTCCCTCCCCAAGACGTTCAGTAGGCACTTCAGATGGTGGACCTGAAGCCCTTCCCTTCCGGCCTTGAGAAACTGAGAGGTGGTGTACCACAGTGGTTAAAAGCATGGGTTTGTGATTCAAGTCCCTGATCTGACACTTGCTAGTTGTACAAACTTGGGCAAATTACTTAACCTCTCTGAGCCATCCATAAAATAGACATACCCACTGACCTTATAGAGTTGTTCTGTAGATCAGATTAAATTTTATTTGCATAGATCCAAGCATTCAGCAGGGGCTTGATAAATGGTAGTTATTGTGTTACAAGCTTCTTGTGAAGAAAGAAATGTTCTTCAGATTCCAATATAAGTGAAGGAATTGCCTCCTCCAGCACCAGAGAGGGAGGGATAAAAATTACACGGTCTTGCAGATAAGCAGGGCCCATTTACCCGGCAGTGATACTCTTCTATTAGCTCTAGAGGGTACCAACTTTCACTGCACATTGGAACCCCCAGCGAGTTTTTTTGATTGTTTGATTTTGTTTTTGAGATGGCGTCTTGCTCTGTTGCCTAGGCTGGAGTACGGTGGCACATCTCGACTCACTGCAACCTCTGCCTCCTGGGTTCAAGCAATTATCCCTGCCTCAGCCTCCCAAGTAGCTGGGATTACAGGTGCCTGCCGCCATGCCTGGCTCATTTTTGTATTTTTAATAGAGACAGGGTTTCACCATGTTGGCCAGGCTGGTTTTGAACTCCTGACCTCAGGTGATCCGCCCGCCTCGGCCTCCCAACGTGCTGGGATTACAGGTGTGAGCCACCATGCCCAGCCGCAAGTTTTTAAAAATGCTGATGCCTGGGTCCCACCTCCAGAGATTCCAATTTGGTTGACCTGTAGTAGGGCCTAGGCATCTGGATTTTTAAAACTCCGCAGGTTGCTAATGTGTAGCCAGAGGTTGAGATGCAGACCCTAGGAAATGATACAAGAGGTAAGGGGAGGGCTGCCAGAGCTTCTGCCAGAGCAAGGGGGGGGAGGGATATTCAGCTGAGAGCTGCTTCTCAAACTGGGACATCCCCTCACCAGTGGCACTGCTTCAGTCAGGGAGGTTTTCACTTAGAATTAGCTTCTTTTG